CCTTCGTGGTGGGCGCGGTCACGTTGTACGAGTTTCCCGGATATGCTGGCCGTCCGACATCTCTCGACTTCTATGCATTTGGAGCATGGAAATAGCAGCTTAGATGACTCGTCCAGGCGCCGGCGGACTGTCATGATGTCACAGTAGATGTTTTTCCTGCTGTTTTTCTTATGATGCGCTGCAATGAGCACCGCGTCTGTCATCCAGTCATCAAACATAGTAGCTCTAAAGCGGCTAGAGGTCGTTCTCAGCTGCACATTCCTTTTTTCTTCAACCTTTATGAATCGTGAAGAGCTTCCCTCGACTGATAGTATTGCCTACTTTCTTTAAGATTTCATTGGCTCAACACTTGTCTATAATGTGTAACAGGGTACAAAAAGGACGCACTCGGCTATCGAATGTACTTGTTTCTCATGATTCGTAGGAGTAAAACATGGAGCAGCAGGAAACAACTGCTACGAACTATAGCTAAGCGTTTTTTTCTTGTCGCACTATGATATTGATCCAGTGTAAGCTAAACCCAACCACGGTGAAATCAGGGGAGGGGGTACAAGGAATTGAGTGAGAGAATGGAAGGACCGATAGGCAATAAATAAATAAACAACAAATCAAATAAATAAAAAGCTAGCACTGTCTGATTTGGTAGAAGCATTTTGCATTGTCGATAGATCCTATTCAATTACACGTTACACCTCGTTGAGACCTGTAGACTTGTATTGACAAGTGGAAACGAGTCTCCTGATACTGTATAGCTTTACAATAATTAACAGGTCTTCACAGAAAGCAGGGATATATGGTAACCAGAAAAATGTCCCCATCAGGTAGAACTGCGGCAGATGATTGGTAGACAGATAATGAATAATAAATAAATAAACAAATAAGTTGTTGCTAATGAAAAAAGTGTGTGAACAGAGCTTATTTAAGAGTGCAATCGACGGCTAACAACATGGGATGCAACCAGAGTTATGAACGCTCCAGTCAGCTGCTGTCTAGTTTTGAAAAATTAAGAAAAACAAATTATCAAAAAATTCAAATATTTTTCCGTACAGAGACACTAACTTTAAAGGCCCACGCTCGCATCCATTTATCCTTTTCGTGTACAGAGTCTCATCCTCAGTCCAGAATCGAGCATTCGGAAGGGGGGGGTTTACGCTAAGAATCGGCCAAACAATAGATCGTATTTGGTTTCCGGAAAAATTTCTGCATATCAAATTTCTCCTTTCAGGCGTCTCCTGAACTCACTTGAATCCGCCTCTCGAGGAGGGACTCTTGGCCTATGTTGGTTGTTTGGGGGAGGCAGTCAACATTAATGCGTTCTTTATTGCATGATGCTTTATTTCTTTTTTTGCCATTTTAGAAAAACTACAGCACTCATGAAAACGTACGATGATCCTGTTTTCCCTTGAAGTTTCAGATCATATGATATTTCAGAGGCAGTTCGGCGACGGGAGGCATTTTGCACTTTTGCTGCTTCCCACCGACGTGTAGACCCATCTGGACAGCTATTTCATGAGCTTACAAGGGTTGACAGGTTTTATCATGTTGGCTCAACCAGCCACTCTAGCTTCACACGAATTCACAGATTTAACCTTGTGAACGCGAAACTATGAAGCAGTGATAGTGCAAGAAGTCCCCCATCCCGACCGACCCGCCGAACTGCGCCGTTATTCCATTCGAAGAAAATAGCAGCTGCAAAAATGCATGTATCAACTATTGGTCAGCATTGTGCGGCCCCCCCCCTCTCCCCGTTCTGCTCTTCCCCCATCCAGTCGCCTTTGCTGCCCATTGCTAAAGTCTAATATTGAGATCAGTTTAGGGGTAAATGTGCACGTGGCCCATCCATCTACAACGTCTTTTTCTAACTTTACAGCAAGAATATGATGAACGAGTGAATAGGACCATTTATCAACTCATAAAATTCAAAAAACTGGGAGAAGGATTAATCGACCGTCAATGGAAACAATTGCCGTGTTGTTAGCGCTAAATCTTCCAACAAACAACAGGGCTCATGCTGGAAAATGAGAGGCCATTTGTTTGGTAAGACAGAGAGAAAAGAAAATATAAGGTTAAAATATATAAGAATAATAAAAGGAAAAAGATGGAAATAAATGGACAGACACAGATGAAAGCAATTGTAGATAACGCCAGATAAAGATAATAATAAGGTATCTACGCATAAAGCGAACGTTAGAGTGGACACTGGGGAAGGCTGCGTTCATAATTTGCAGCAGCGTCCACCAGCGACCAATAGCGTCCACCAGCGTTCCGAGCGTCCGGCAGCGTCAGCGACTAGGAAAGTATGGATATCGATTTAGCGTCTGCCAGCGTCTGCCAGCATCTACCAGCGACCAGCAGCGTCTTGGAGAGAGTATGGCACGATAGGAGGGTGGCAGACAGCCGGTACCTTCCTATCGCCCCTCTCCTCACTCTCTACCCAGCGGTCTGTATCGCTCCCGTCTCCACATACTCCACCAGCTGTCGGCTACCCTCCTATCGATATCTATGCTTTCCTAGTCACTGACGCTGTCTGACGCTCGGAATCCCTCGTGGACTTTATTGGGCGTTGGTGGACGCTGCCACAAAGTTTGAACGCAGCCTATGATTCACAAGGCAAGGTGCGATGTGCCTATAAGGACTTCTGGAGGCCAGTGGATGTGAAAGTCATTCCTTTCGTCAAGATGAACCTAGCCTCAATTCACCGTCTGAGGAGGGTGGAATGCTTGATTGGTCTGGGGGGGGGGGGGAAGTCGACGTAGGCTTCACCCTCCATGCGTGTGGTAAGGGTACTACATGCCACTACGCCATCTCCGCCTCGTCAAGACCACGTACTCAACCAAATTTCACTAACATTCCCCAGAGAGGCTGAGTAGGTGATCCATTTGATCCCTGAAGGCGTGCACTTCATCCTTGCCTCTTGAAGTGCTCGTGGCTGCTCGATGAAGTCTGCAGTCAACAGGCTGTGAATAGAGCAGCTTTCTTTCTTGTTGATTCGAGCAGATGCTCAATCAAAGGGGAAGGGATTGGTACTTCTGTTATCGAGGACATCACTCAGGAACTCACGTCGATCTCCAACGCAAGTTGCACTTTTGAGCCTCATCCTCACTCTTCTAGTGATCTTATGAATGTAGGCGTGGCCACTTGAGTGTGTGAGCTTCGCCAGTAGACTATCTCCTCCACGCTTAGGCAAACAGATCAACTCAATATCCTTCAGTTTCTCTCTTCAAACCTTCTCAAAGCGTTCCATTGACTCAGGAAATCCTCTGAGCAATCTTAATAAGTGGCCTAAAGGCGCTGTCCACGCTGACCCTCCTTGTGATTTCCTCATTGGTGCACCTATTGCATGACCCCTGGGCGTTGCGGGCCTACCACTGTGCCTGAATGTGCCTTTATCGTGTCATAGAGAAAGAACTAGTGAGTAAGGCACACTGGGAGGCCTGCACATGCCTACACGATCAGCGTGGACTGTACCTTCGGCCTGAATAAGTCGACGATGCTTACTTTGATACTATCAGCTGGCACTCTCAGTGGTGCTATAGGCACTACTTTTGGGACTCGCATCCAGTGTGGCAGAATCGATGGTATCATCGGAATATCATTGCTGTTACAGTTGCCATCGCAGCAATTTTCTCTGTGAATGCTAGAAGACGAGACTAGTGGGTGGTACACGCTTCATCAAGGAAAACTGACTGTGTGGGAAGGTGTTTGTGCTTTGAAGCTCAACAACGTCGTTCGCTTGTTCAAAATCCGGGATGGAAAGCTATTTAGCATCGCACTGGTGCCAGAAGCCGATGTAAAACAGGTAAGAACATACTGAAAGGCAATAACTCGATGTTAACTCTGTATCCCGGAGATGGAGAGGCGTTTCCTAGTTGTGGAATAAGTGCAAGCAGTGGCTGCGTACCTGTGTCAGCTGCCGGTTTAGGCAGGGAGAGGTAATCGGTATGATGTAAGTTGTGCCGTCTGCGCTCTCCTAGGCACCCATTGCAGCCGTTTATAAATCAAAAGGCAGCCCTAGCGCCTTGGACACCTAGGACACGCCCTCCCTATCTCCGGGATGTGAAATGCACTCCAATTCTCAATCAGGCATTCAGGTTTGCTCGGATGGCTATTGGAATTGTGTTGAAATAACGGGCACACTTGATACGAGATCTCCATCGATGTTTTACTACCATGCTGACAATGCAATGAACGCTCGCTTAATGTTGCAGGTATTCATCTAGACCTATTTAATTCCAGTTTCTGCAGCTTCTCTCCACTTCAAAATATGCGCGTCATTAGGTTCGCTCCTTTCCCGCGCGAGTGTGCCACTAAGAGGGCGCACATTTCTCTTCAAGCGATGCTGTGGTGATGATCACTCCGATGGATAGAAGCTGGAGAGTGGGCTAGTTATAAGAATGGCGTGACGTGCTATGCTATCTTCGTTTCACGTCAGCAGAGCGGCTATGACTGGCCCTAATGCCTCACCTGTCACGTATTTGTCAACAAGGCGGAGCCTCCTGTTTGGTCCCTCGCGAAGGACGTGAATTTCGATACTCAAAACTTGTCAAAATCTGATAATTTCCTGGGAATCTGGAGAAAAGGCACGATCGTCGTGCTTCGATAAAACTGCCCTTCATGGCTGTAGTCCTCTAATAATTTTCGGCGGCTGTTTGGGGGCATTTTGTATTATCATTGCTTCCCTAGTTCCGGTTTACAAATCTCACTCTGGTAAAACTTGTGAACTCTTGTGAAGCTGAACTAAGATCCTAACGTGTCAACTCGAGAAACGGCTGCCTAGATGGGTCGACACATCTATGGAAAGCAAAATGCCCCCCCGTCGACAAACTGCGCCGATTTTTCTTTGGCGCTCAGAACTTGAAGGGCCCAAAGTCGAAGGAAACTGCCTTGGACAAAAAAAGCGGAAGTGCTTCAATGATGACAGGCCCGTCTCCTCCCAGAAAACATCGTAGACTATCTTTTCAAAGTCGTAACTCAGTCCGCCAGCTCTCGCGGTCCTATCCCCTCAGTTGATTGGCCCCATAGCGATGAATGAAGTCAATAAAAGCCTAGGGATTCTAAGGAAAGCTAAACATTTTTCATTGCTAGTGGTGCGAGATGCTCCTTTTCTATACTGGAAATAAGTCCCTCGACTATGCATTTAAGGTTCCAATTCATGTGAACTGTCCTTCTTTCAGCATCTTATTGAACTGACATCCACACCCATTCGATCGCTCAACATACGGCTGGATCCCGATCCACTACGACTGCACAGCTCGGAGCAAATTTCAGAAAGGATAACGATGTGGTCCCAACTAGGCAAGGACTACTGTCACGAATATCGAGTTACTCTTGACTCGAACATGCCATTATAATCCAATTCCCAATGATTCTTTCTCAAACATTCCTTTTTGATCGCCAATTTTTCGTTCTGAAACAGATGCGAGCGCTCGGCGCAATCACTTTGATTCTTGTCTATCGTGGAATCCCACATGTCGTGCATTGAGCTGTGAGCTTGTGACAAATGACTGATCACTTTCACCACAGACACGATTAATTTTCCCATCACATGCACATGAACAGCAACAGCGGGTATCGGCCCTGATGTGTTGCTGGTTTCCTGAAGTACACCAAAAATTCGAGGATTTGTTCGAAAATATTTTGAAGCTTTCGTGACCTCAAACGGCTCTCGAATGACAATCCTAATCAAGGAGAGCTATCCTTGTGAAGTTACTAGTTCTTCAACATGACTCTCTTTGGGCTCGGCGCAGCGCTCACCAAAAGCCACATGGTGGAATTAAAGTCTAGCATATCTGGAAGGGAAACTTCGTCGCGTCCAATAGATTATCACACCCATCCGTGATGACGCCCGCCCAAAACAAGATAAAAGGCGACACCTCCCAAGAGGGTACATTACATTCGATGACGAACCGCATGCAAGGGCGTGCTTGGTCCTGGGGCGAGGAGGTTAAGTATTTAGTGGGTTTGGGTCGCACTATGTGACTTTGAGAAAAGCTTTTCCGAGTCGCGGAGAGGAAATAAAAAGTCCTTTCTCAGGAAATTTTTCCGCACTGCGTGCGCCATGCTCCCTTCCCCAGTTAACGTCGGAAGCTGCCGCATAATTACTGTACAACTACTAGTGGTAAATTTGTAGCTACACTGGGTCCATCCTGCCGCTGCACAAGCTGGCCTCCCAACGACGTCCACATGGACGGCACTTTTTTGAAGAAAATTTTTTGGGGATACTGGAAAATTTGGTGAGCTAAACTGTCCTCCCGCTGCCGCTTAGCCCTCCCAACAGAGTCCCACACTGACGGCACTTTTTTTGAAGAAATTTTTGGGGATACTGAAAATTTTTTGTAGATGAGAAAAAAAAACCATGGAAAGAAATTCGGAAAGATCGTTAGAAATAAATGTGAAAGAGATGGTACTACACACCGCACGTCACGCCATTTCGCCTAATGTCCTTATTCCCATGAGCCATTGCAGGCACGACCCTTATCAGTTTGAGTAGTCGCCTAGGCACATCCGTGCCCTTTGGAGGCTATGAAACTCGCACAATCCTTTCATTCATTATAGGCAGACCAACTTTGAACGACAACTGTTGGTTGGGGGAGGGGAGAGGGATGAAGGGATGCGGATCAGCAGTAACATCCCCCTCGTTGTCCGCTTCCTTCAATCGAGGCTCCGGAGAGTCAGATGGGGGTGTGTTTTCTAGCAAGCATAATCCTCACTAAGGTACGCCTAAGCCTTGATTCAGGCGGGGGATACAGAGTGGTGCCCAGTGCCTCCCACTCCCAACTACAGTTTAGCAGGGGAACGGTTAGGACTCCACGAGAGGTCAGCCTGCCGCCGCGACGCGGCAGAGGAGAAGTGGGCCTCGCGATGTTTTCGCTATCTGCGCGGCGTTTGCATAGTCCGTTAGATTTCCAACAGTCTGCTTTATTACTTGCAGGTGTGAAAACTATGGAAGGAGTGGGCCCGATGTGTAACTATTAGTATAAAGCAATGTCCATTTACATAGAAATAATATTTAGAGAATACATCAGCAATCTACAAAAATTCACTTTAAGGTGAATCCTTCTTTTGCATTCCTTTGCAAGGTATTGTAAAGGCCTAAGATTTGCGGCCAGACGGGAAAAGTAGGTAGTATTAAAGAAATACAGCAATCTGTTGAATAAATACAGCTGCCATTCAAAAATATTGACGTCCCATTGAATATTCTAGTTTGGCAAAATGCCAAGGCAGTGATTTTGCGATGGGCCAGAACTATGGGCGGGGGACCGGGCTTAATCGCACACTGTATGTATGGGTCTTGTCCAATCAGGGCAGCAATCGCCGCGCGCGGCGAGGCGAAACATGGCTGCCGTGACCTCTCGTGGAGTCCTAACCTACACCCCTATCATTAGCGCCCCAGCATTTCCAGAACATTTTGATCTCTTGAACTTTCGACCGCATTCGCTAATTGCGATAATCTCTAGGACCTCTGGATGTGGTTATTGATTGTGGTTGTTGGAATGAATCCCTCTTTTATTTCTCATTCTTCAGCTTACCTTATTTATCTCTGTATCATTTATCATTTCGCTGTTATACTGCTTACGCAACACTGTCTTTTACGTTCTTCGTGTTCTTTCGATTTTTCATTTATTTTGGTCCCTTGTGTATGTATTTGCTGTGAATTTTGATGTATTGTTGACTATTTATTCTTTAATCAGAACCTTTTTCACGGGTTTTCTTACTTCGAACTTATGAACTCTGAATTTGTTTTCATAGAGTTTCAATGAAAGTTTCTCAACGCAGCGTTCTCAGAGTGATCTCTATTCCAAATAGTTATTTACCAGTTGGCGGAGGTAGTTTGTGCAGTGGTAGGTAACACTCTTTTCATGCTCGCGGTCCGGGGTCAAACCCCGGGTTGAATTCTGCTCAGATCAACCAATCCTTCTATTCTCCCTGTCCAAGAAATCGGTACTGGATCCGTCTGGGAGGATAATGTTCATCGCCTGGTTCCCGTAAGTCATTGCATAGGCCATATCGCATTCAATAAGCCATTGCAATCCTGAATGCAAGTAGAATCCGTTCCGCTACCCAAAAAGGATTGGGCATCGGTGGAAGCGGGAGCTTAGTCCTTTTCCTATTCTTCTCTCTGGCTGCTGGGTATTCACACAGTGCCCAAAAACTGGTAAAACACCATACTCCGACAGAGGCGGGTCCATTGTGCAGATAACTGACGTCAGTGAACTTTCGCTTCTTCAAAAGGGTTCACAAAGGGTCTTTAGCCTCGGTGTGTTCTTTGGTTACCTCTAGATTAAGTCTCCACCTAGTTCCAAGTTTTGCAGTATTTGTGAGGGCACTATACTTTTGTCCGAAGCGAAAAACCTATTTTTATTGAGCAAATTTCATTGTTCGAATCGATATCAGTATACAGTAGCGTGGTGGAGATTTCATTGAGTTGTAGCACTGACTTTTCCAAGAGCATCCTCGAGAGTGATGATCTCGCCTGAATGACAGATCATAAGTGTCTTTATACGAGTAACCCTGCCGACAGGACTGCCTCCACTCATCGCTGGTACCATCGTTTTCACTGCAAACGCTGGGCACGTCAGAGAGCCGGTTCTGGCGCGGTGCCAGCCCCTTCCCGTCACTCGTTGAAGCGAGCAAATCGAAATAGCTAGTGGAAAAAGGGCTTGTGCCGCGCCAAACCCAGCCCTTTGATGCGCTCCAGTGTCTACAGCGAAAACAGCTGCGTCTGAACGTCTCTATATATCCTTTCTTCAGCCGATATATGCTTGAGTACTGTAATTTAGGGTCTGACGAGAGCATTAGTTGCTTGCCAGTAAAAGTGCTAAATGAGTCAAGAGCTTCAAATACACCAATCATAAGTCCAAAGGTCTTACTTTTGATTTCTCTGACCATCCTCTGCAGCTCGGAGACTCTGTCAAGTACTTCAATTCGTTGTGTGTAAGCATTATAGCGGACTTGGAACGAACGTGGAATCGTTGAGGCCCAAGCCCTGTAATGAATCCCATTTTTATCAAGCTGTGAAAGCAAGACTATACTTGAATGCACAGCTTTTTGAATTTTCCCTCTAAAAACTGTGAGCTCGAATCTCCTCCATTTTGCATGCAGGCCAGATTTTGCAGGTTTGTTGCGCTCTGTTTTTTTTCTCTGCCCAGTTTAGGCGCTAATAGCCTCTGGTTGGGCACTTGAAGGTCATCGGCACTGTTCGGCTAGAGCAGGAAGGGACCTTTTGCATTTCTTCTACGTTAGGTTCGTTTCTCCTCGTGTCATGTCCAACTAACAGCGCGTCACGGGTCCGCTTTGGTAAGACCTGTGGCTCCTGCGAATCTGCGAATAGGTACAGGTGAGCCTTTTTGGATACGAGAGCTCACGGGTACTCACAAAATCTCCCTTACAAAGTGTCACTACATGCGCTATTTGGTGATCACAACAGCCCAACTGCCGCTAAAAAGGGGTGATGACGCGTAATAACGACATCGCTAGCTATTAGTTACCGGTCCTTAATTCAGCTCCAGCAACCCCTGATGCCCCTACCCCTTTAACCTCGCGCCCTAAAAGCCGCTCGTACCCCGCCCCTTTAACTTCGCGGCAAATACCTCTGCATATCCATTGCAGAATAACCGATACGCCTCGTCAAAACATCCCACCCTCCCCCCCCCCGCCTTCAAAGCGCTCTTCGATTTACTTATATTAACTACATCACGACATTTATTGTGGCCACTTACTGTAGCTTGTTCTTGGCACACTGGTAAAGGAATCAGCGAGGTAGTACTTCGGTTGATATTCAGTGATTGGATAATCAGTTGTCGACGTGACAGCTGGATCGAATGGCGCTACAACTGGCTGCAAGTATACTTATATTGCACAGGTTGATGAACAGTTCTGATTGAAATATCACCTTATCACTGAGGGAGTACTGTAGTTCACCAAAAGATGACAAGAGACCAGCTCCGTAAGCTTTTTTCTCGCCGTTTGTAGGCATATTCCAAACTCGATTTGTTGAACCAGTAGAGCCTAAAAGTACGCAAGGAGCTAATCATCAGAAACATCAACGACTACAAGTGTTCGCTTACTGGTTGCTATTTTGCCCGTGTTTAGCGTTAGAATGGACCGAAATCCGCACCTTATACAACGCTATTTCCTCTCAAGTAATCCACTTACTTTTCTAGTCGAAGCTCAGACTGGGATACCAAGGGAAACAGTTAGCGCACATGGGTGTCCCGCTGGAAGCTCACATGCGAGGTCATGCCAGCGTAAGGGAAGTTGCTATACCCATCCGGACGATGCGGTTCGAGAGCCACTTGTTGCCGGTTCCTGTGTGCGCAATACAAAGGAATTGGCTTGGCGCGCGGCATTCCTTGGCTACTTACCCGGATTACTGTCACATTTTTGCGTCAAATCATTAATGCCAAGGCTCTTCGCATTTGGGCCCACGAGGGCTTTCGGCCTGGTTGAGCTACCGATAGTGAACGGCTCATAATGGCGTACAGTTGGGGTTGTGTCTGCTGCTGAATTCCGGGTTAGGGCAGGTGGGGACAATTTCACAAAATACGACACCTTTAAGACTGTCTCCTCTGCGACTGCGACTATTTCCCCTCCAGCGGACCAAAACTCACTGTGAACTTACTACATGTCCTGCCCGAGTGGCTTCGATAGCGAGGTACGTTTTACGTTGGAGATCACCAACGGGGGTCGTATCCGCTCGCTGGATGGGGTGTTTTGCCTGGGAAAGCCATTTTCTGAGTGCTGGTATTCCCCCTTTCCGAGCGCACTGTACCTCCTCCCTAAGTAGATTGCAAATTTTTTGGAAGCTTGCTATGATGACCATTCTTATTAAAGTAGGCCGCATAAAGGGATGGGAAACTTTGAGAAGGATCATGTTTATCGAAAATCTCTCCCCCCCCCCCCCACCGCTAAGACGTTCGTGTTGAAGGATCAGACTAGGCTACGCTAGCTGGGTCATCTTGCAATCACGTGATAACCTGTCTGGTCTTCAACTCGAATCGGATAGTAAAAAAGTTTGGTCGGGTGGTAATAAACTCGTTCAACTGTTACAGTCGTCGAAGACCGAAAGGCCAGCAAATGGAGAGAATCAACGACGTCGTAAAGAGTTCAACTAGAGAAAACCAGCAACGATGCTGCCACCAGGCCAAAGACTAGGAAACTTTTGTCTATCAGTGTTGTTTTTTAGGGATAATTCTTACCGTGGCAAGCTGCTTGATCACTTCGTCTGAGGCTCCAAGACTCGCCAAGCCAATTTCTTGAGAAAACTGAGCAAATTCAGGGTCAGCGAAGAGAGGTGCATGACCGAGGAGTTCATGACAAATGTCGCTGAAAATCTTCTTTGAAATTTGAGACCAGTGAAGCTGAACTCTTTGCTGTGCACTTACGGCTCTGGTGTGTACTTCGGTGAGGAATGATGACGTATGTACTGCGTAGAGTGGAAAACCCGAAACGCGAGGCCAGCAAGAAAATCTCTAGATGAAAGAAGTCCTGCCACAGGGCGCAGTGTAAAACCAGTGCAGTCTGAAAATCGCCATAATAAAGTAGCGGGTAAAGTAATGTAATAATGTGGTGAGAAAAGTAAAAGACGCAGTCTGCACTGATGGTGTGGGCGGAGTCAGACCTATAACTGTGCCTTTCTCATTGGTGAGGAACTTCCTTCCTAACACAGGGCAGTTGAGGAAGAAATCGCCGCAATGATTAAGGCACAGTAGGAGGCCCGAATTTGCCCATGTGTCAGTGTGGGGTAGGCTGACCTTTAAGAAAATCAGAAGAACCCCGGGCGGATAGTGGTAGTCTGCGGGTCCTGAAGCTGTGGGATGTTATCGGGCCTAAAGCCGCAGTTTTGCTGAAGTAGTGGAAAGATGTAGTTGAACTCCTTGCATGCGTGAGTTGGATAGAGGGAGACGAGTTCCTGAAGAAAGTTTTCAAGGGAAATTGCTTCAATCAGACTCCCTCCAATAATGCTGGGGTTATTTCACCCACGTTATAGACGACGCGCCAGGTTTCGATTTCTTGCTGAGTGTATTCAATTCGTGGTATCTGATCGCCACTGAAAAAGGACTCATTGAAATAAAACTATAAACAGAGTTCTCAAAAGCTTTCGTGATGGAATGGTGGACAGGACGAGTCGGACGTTTGGGTACCTTAGTGGTGGGGTCGTATGTGGTCGCTGGAGAGACCGGGTTACATCTGCCTTCGGAAAAAATGTTCTCGGTAGTTGATTTTTCTCGGGCTTTTTCCTCTTTCGAGGGGGCTATATCTGTATCTCCTCCTTCGCTCGACGGTAGGTTTTGTGGTATTGAGGAAAAGAGGTGGAAGTTCTGAAGGAAAAGCTGCGAAGTTGAGAGAATTCAGCAAGGTGGGAGGTGGCGTGGGATTGCAAAGGAGATCGTGCGGAAGAAAAATTTTTAGGTGAGGAGGAGTGTATTTCGCGAGAACTCCTTCCTAACGCCAGACAGCCCTTACTCGATCTGTCCTTAAATGGAGTCAGTAAAAGGCTAAGTACTTACTATCTAAAGTTGAAGGCAATGTCGGCGAAGTACTTGCGTCTTTCTCGATAGACAGGATCTTTGAAACCCTAAAAGAAGCAAGAGTGATTGATCAAGTAGGACCCAAGTAGTAAAAATGTAAAAATGTCTTCTTCCATGTATCTTCAATAGTTCTATCTGAGGGGGGTGCGGCACACAGGGCTCTTAAGGTGGAAGATCCCTGAGCAAGGCAGGCCGTACCCGAGTATTCGCGTAGGGAAGTCAATGAAACAGATGGAGTTCTTGCACTTAGGAAAAAAAGTAACCGGATTTCAGCGCTTTCCTGTCCCACTTCGTCTCGGCCTGAGAAGGTGTCACTCACATTCAGGGTGACAGGAGCGGGATCGTGCTCAATCGGCAATTCCCCCGACGTCATGGGATGTCCCTGTAGGGGCTTTTCCGTCAGCGATTTACGTGATCACTCGCCATTACGCTCTCCATAGTCTCAAGAAGAAGCTGATCAATTGAGTGACCGGGACTTCCCATTTAGGGCTAGTCCACCATACTACCCGACCACAAGGTAGGCAGGACATGTTCTTAGCCTGGGTGACTGAAAATGATGCGAAAAAGACCCTCTGCGAACGTAAGCAATTGAATGATGAATTCTGCTTTCTACAGCTCATTGTCCAGTCCTATTTGATTAGATTATTTTCCTGCTTGCCTACTCCTATAACATCATTGCATCATGCCCTCACCATGATGTACTGATCCTAACGTTCGTACTTTTAACCACTGTGTAGCTGTTTCCCCTCAATTCTCTGAACTCTCTTTTAAGCGCCCAGCGTTTCTTCATCTCACTCTTCCTTGCATATTTGAAGAGTGCAGGTGTCACAGCTCCAGAGGAAGTACGCAGTCACGTCCTCCCAGCTCCAAGGTATAAAGTTTACTTACCGGATGATCAGAATCCAGCTCGGCTCCATAGCTCAAAATTCGATTTGCGAACTGGTCGATGTCCTTGATTCGGCGTGGAAACCATGGGATAGAATCTGTATACGGTAACATTGTGTGATTTGATCGTGGCTTTCGTTTGTTGGTCCCATGCCAAAGGAGGGGAGGGGTCGGTCGTAGTTGGGATCGTTTCTCGGCAGCTGCCCGTTTTTTCCGCTCCAAATGCATTAACGGTTGGTCGAAGATCTCCCTATCGCTGCATAATCTCAGTATTTCTGGAAGTTCGGTCAGAATGATGGTCCGACTGGGAGTCCCAGAGGTAGGTACTGGAATAGAGGGGCACGCCAATACCTCTCTTGGGAGGGTGAATCGTGATTTCGCAATCCCCTGTTCCCTGTTACAAGATCCCGGACAAGCTGTACCTTCACCTACCTTTATTCTGCTTGTTACGTGCATTCCAATCGTGTACCATCAGGTCATCTCCTTTTTTCTTGAACAGTTGGATGAGCTAAACACCGGTGTCAGCAAGATAGAAGCCATATATGAATTAAGAAGCGTACCTCTTCGATTTTGTGTTGGTCGGAATCCTCCGTACATTCC